AATAATAGTAATAGTAGAATAATAGTATAGTAGGGTTAAGGGATTAGTATTAATAATAAATAGTGGATTATAATGAACATAAATAATTAGGCTATTCGCGACAATATCGATTTCTTTTTTTTTTTTATTCTTTTCCGCAATTTCACAAAATTTCTCTTATCATTAAACCTTCTTACTTTCTACTTTTCTTTTTTTTTTCTTTTTTTACTTCCTTTCTAGTTGTATTTTTTCTCCTCCTCCTTCTCCTTCTTTTTCTTTGTATTTTTTTTTTNTTTTTTGATCAAGCAAAGTGGTCATTAACATTTAAATATTTCTATAAGTGTGAGTATGGTAAAACGTTGATAATACCAACAACGACCAATGCGTGTGCCTATATGTGACAGAGAAAAAGAGAAAAAAAAAGAGAGAGAGAGAAATAGAAAGAAAGAAAGATATAGTAAAATAGAAAAGATAGAAATAGTAGGGGAAAGAGAAATAGAGAAACGGATAGAATGAAACTATGAGAGAAAGAGAAAGAGAGAAAGAGTGAGAGAAAGAGAGAAAGAGAGAAGAGAGAGAAAGAGAGAGATAGAAAGCCCTTGAGAGATACGTGGGAAAGTATCCTTTTGTAGGTACCTGAAACACCGTCACAATAGCCCAGAGTAACGAGTCAAAGTTTTTCCTATCACACTCGACGTCAGAGCTGCCTTTCATCGTTTCACAGAATTTGCAACCAAACAGGTTCATCCCGAGAATACTACAACACAACGAAACGTGCAATGTACTTCTTTATCCATATATAATATAAAAATACGAAGAGACAAAGTAAGTTAAAAGAAAAAGATTGGAATAAAAAGGGGTGTTATAGGATATAAGAAAATTAAAAAAAAAAGAAAAATGATAAAGATGGTAAGAGACCAGAAAAAAGATATAAAATAAATACACAAAGAACGTAAATTATTAAACTAACGTAAAATAGAAAAAGAAAGAGAGAGGAAGAGAGAGAAAATAAAATAAAAAATAAAAGCAAGAAGCCTTAGTTCGATAAACTAACATAACGAATTTACAAAGCATGGCGACGACGTAACGTGCACATATACACACACACGTATAGGTAAATAATAGTATATACTCGAGAACATCGAGTACACTCGATGCCCACTTCCGAAGTATACTCGTTTTCTACCTTTTAAATATACACACACACACAGATATATATATTGTATAAACACTGAATGGAAAATAACCGAGTCTCGTTTAGTTTCTCAACGTAAGTCTTACTCGTTCGATGAACGAAAAATCATTTTGTGCTCGTTGTTAGAACGTTTAAGAACTACGAGATTTAATCGTTGCTACGAAATCAGTTTTGAAATTACACTTTCAGAAATAACGTTTTTCCGATTCAATTCTATCCTATTCTATTTCATTGGCACACATATAGTTTTTTCTCTATCCGTTAAAAAGGATCTAAACGGATTTCTTTGTGTTTTAACGTAAACTTTTTTAAAACCGTTCATAGTAGTTGTCAACGTCGGGGTAAATACATTTGTATTTATTCAAGACTACCAGTTCCAGGGTATGTATTAAATTTTGATCAATTAGTTTGTTATTATTTTTAAAAATAAATAAAACTTACTCGAGTAATAATACAACACTTTTGGTATCGTTAATTGATCGAATAATTAATTAATTTTATATTGTAATATAAAATTCTATATTAGTGTTGTGACAATTAAAAGAGGATCATTTAAATCGGTTATTGTGTGTGCATTTCAATTAGCGTGTGTGGGCAATTAAAATTAAATTACTGATACTATTACTTTTTTGACAATATTAGTATCTCCAAATAAAAAAAAACCATGGAACCTGGTTAAATCAATGTCTTTTATGCATTAACCTAGAACCGGCACTGAGTATGTACTTATGTAAATAAGTACATAAATATTTAGTAAAGGTGATATCGTGCAAATCGTATTATATACGTCACAATAACGTTTAATGTTTCCTCTTTATAGAACAACCCTGACGACAACGATGCTGACGACGACGACGACGCTGACGACGACGACAAAGACGACGACAAAGACGACGACAAAGACGACGACGACAACTGCGATGACTCTCAACGGGATAACTTTCGCATTAGCCGAGTTGGACCGGTTGCCAAGTATCTTTATCCGTGATTTGTGAAATCCCATATAATAGCATTTAATGCTGACGTTACACAGACATTCGTTATTTCTACTTCATTACCCATAGAACTGTGTAACTTGTAATACAATTAAGAATACAACGAAATAATTTATTTTCTTATACACATTATTTAATAACAATTTGTCTAACATAGAAAAATATCACGAGAATTATCTCATTATCTATCTATTCTTATACGAATTACTTACAAATACTAAAAATTAGACACAATACACATTGAGAAAAATTTCTCATTTAAAGAAATTTGCTTTACCTTAAAAAAAAAAGAAATGAAATGAAATAAAAAAGGAACGAAGAAAAAAAAGTAGATAAAATGATAGACAAGTTGACAAATAATAATATAATAAATATATACGCCGTTAACATTCGCATAAGCTTTTCTAAAATATCGACGAGCGCACACCGAACTGCTGCTTATGTCGTTTTAATCAAAAATAGCCGCTTGTCAGTCAAATCATACGCAGCACTAAAAGTAAATTAAAACGAGCGTAGAGTAGGAAAGATCGATTAAATAGATTTAATTTGTAATTTAAAAAAAACATACATATATATATATATATATATATATTAATAAATATAATAATAATAATAATAATAACCGTTTATATAATTGATTATACGGATAAGTAAAATAGCTTTCATACTCGTCGCTAATTATAATAAAAAATATAAAAACAGACAGAAAGAGAGAAAGAAAGAGAGTAAGAGAAAAAGAGAGAAAGAAAATAAAAATACGTCCAAAGATAGAGTACAGAGAAAGAGAGAGAGAGAGAACACAAAGCACCATGCACACACGAAACACACACGCGCAGAGATTTACGTAATGATTTAAATAACCACGTCCCTTGTAATATACGATATGTATATACATATATATATATATATATATAAAATATGATATATACATACGTTATATACATACGTTATATGCATTGGCGCGCGTATCATTACACCCTCTCTAACGTTTGAATTGTCATAACCTAAACGTGTCAAACACGTGACGAATAAATATATATTTGTTATACTTTTTCCATCAAATATTTGTTGAATATATATATATATATATACATATATATATATATATATATTCGCGTCACGAATGTGTGCGATGATCTTCGCGATGAAATAGAGATAAAGATAAATATATAGATAGAAAAAGAAATAGAAAGATAGAGACAGAGAGAAAGAAGAAAATAAAACAAACAAAAAAATAGCGAAAAAGTAAATAATAATTTTCCCTAGACGAGAAAATACGAAGAGATATAGAAAGCCGAAATACGAGAATGTAAACGAGAGAATAAGAGAGAGAGAGAGAAAGAGAGAAAAAAAAAGAGAAAGAAATAGAAGAAACAAAATGATAGAAAAAGTCAGACAGCTTTCGTGAAAAGTTGTGTAGTAAGCAGTAATCGAAAAACGTACGGTACCGTTTTGAAATACAGATGACAATGATGAAAAAAGGTTCGATTGTTTACAAGAGAAAAAAATGATTCCAATGCGAAAAGAATGAGAGAACCGGTTGGTTCGTTATCGTTTGTCAGTCTCTCTACCGAACGATTAAACACCGATTTGTTTTTTTTACCAAAGGCTTCGTAAGCAAGAGCCTTACAGATAGAAATACATATATATATATATATAGATAGATAGATAGATAGATAGATAGATAGATAGTTGATAGATAAATAGATAGATAAAAAGAAGAAAGAGAAAGAGAAAGAAAGAGAATGAGAGAGACAGACAGAGAGAAAGAGAGAGAGAGAATAAGAGAACGTCGTTGTGTTTGAAATCCGAATTCCGGTAGCTAGTTTTCAATCGTTCCAATTATATATCTGGGAAAATTCAGATAATAAATAAATAAATATTATATTAAAATTAGTTATATGGAAGTTCGATGTATAATAAGACATTTTTTTTTTATTAAATATTTTTGACGATTTTTCGAATACGACGAAATTGTTCGTGGACGAAATAATTGACAGACGAGGACGCATAGATCTGTTTTTTAATTTTTTTTTTATTTTTTACTCCAGGAAGCGCGCCTTCTCGAGCGAAGCCTTTCTTGATTTTTTTTTTTGTAAAAGCCGATTATTATTGCAAGTTGTCTTCAAAGTTGTTTTCGTATTCATTAGAAATGCTTATTTTAAAAAACTCGAAGTAAAAGATCTTTCCTCCTTTTAGCTTTCTTTACATTTTCTTTTTTTTTTTCTTGTTCCTTCCGTTTTTCTCTAAAAATTACGCCATCCTCGAAAATTTGAAATAACCATTTAAATAATCAAACTTAATAATAAAACAAGTCATTGTTTTTAATGCATTGTTGATTGTTACCAACATCATTTCATAATTTGAAAGAGTGGATACTCTTTAATTCGAACAGAAACGTCTTATCAAAAAATATCTAACCCCAAGTATCTTACATTGAACGTCAGATAATTAAATCAAACTCGTTGTATTATTTGAGCACAGGGTATTATTAAAAAAAAAATATGATTCAAGGAATGATATGAGAAAATGAATTGAAATGATTAACAAAGTTGATAAACTGAATGCATCGTAGAATAGAAAAAAAATCATTTTTCTTTTTTAAATTATAATATCTCATATATCAGATTATCTTTGTATATCGTCAAAATCGTAGAATGGCGTAACGATTTAAGACAAATTCTCGTTCTAGTCAAAGTTATTAATTATTAGTTTCGCCATAATTAATAATCGACGGCAAGACGACAAAAAAAAATATTAAAAAAAAATAAAATACACAAGATAGCATAATTACCGTTGAAAGTATCATAATTGTGATTGATGACACTTACCTGAATATAAAGATGAATAGTACTAAAAGGGAAAAGAATACGGCAACGTTATCCATGGTACGTAGCATGACGAAAAGTTGACGTCTCAAGTTTGGCAGGAAACGGACCAACTTCAATATCCTCAGCAAACGGAAGGTTCTAAGGACGCTCAAACCGGAACTTCCGCCACGTTCCTCCACGAACGATTGGAATAGCTCAATGATGCTGGATACACGTAAAAAGAGAGACAGAAAGAGAGAAAAAAAAAAGAAAAGAAAGAGAGAAAGAAAGAGAGAGACGCGTATTTTTAGAAGAGTAATTTTAAGAGGTCATCATCATCTTTATTCATTCATTCATTCTCGCAAAAAGTCGAGTGAACAGAAAAGAAGAAGAAGTTGAAGAAAAAAAAACGTATATAAAGCAAAAATTATTCGAACAAATGGAATAAAAAGAAGAGTAGAGAGTGCATCGGAGAAAAAGTTTAGTTTCTTACTAGAAGAGTTTGCGATACGCTTCTTTTTTCCCTCCTCCCTCGTAAAGTTTCGGATCAAAAAAGAACTTTCTTTTTTATCTTCTTTTTTCTTTTTTTTTGTTCACAACTTTTCGCAGGAATGTTTTACTCTTAAGTGTACGGTTACTATGTCGGGGTGAAAATTTGTTCGGTATAAGGTATAACCTATATATTTGCAAGTTTCTTCTTTTTATTTCTTTTTCGATCGATTGAAAATAAATCAAATGCATCGATCACACCGAACTTATTAGAATTGATCGATATATGAAACTTGAATATAAAATAAAAGAAAAATAACGTTAGGGGGTATCGCGAACGTTCTAGGTCAGTGGTCAGCGAGCATTTGACCTACAAAAAGTGTTTGCACCCTTTTATATTATATATATACGTGTGTGTGTGTGTGTGTGTGTGTGTGTGTGTGTG